ATGGGATAGGCATAAGGCTATCCTAGCTATAAGATAAGGCCAGGGGCTAATGAAAGTATTTAGAAAATAGGGCAGACTAGATGGGCCAAATGGTTTCTATCTGCCATCACATTCTATGTGCAATATTACAGACTTAAAAAGAAGTGTAGCTGGTGATAAAAATGAAACTGCTTTTTGGAAATGTTGTAGTTCTCATTTCAGTTAGGTAATACCAACACAGGTGAATATTAAACTTGTAAAGCATGCATCCACCTACCTCCACTTAGAATTTTCTGATTTGGGAAGATAAAGGACTATCAGATACAGACAGACCGTCTGTAGTTATGAGAAAGGAACTGTCACGGTTCCGCTGTAACTTCCGGAGTGCCAAACGAGGTTAGCCCAGGAGTGCCCAGTAGCGGATTTGAACCTGGGTACTTTGCAGTCCTGGGGCTGCTATGTTACCTGGATGTTATTCTGTGGCTGCTCCAACATTCTCAAGCACACCTGAAGCTGATGGCCTCATTAGCCACGTATAAGACATTGCCTCTCCCAGAAGGCAGTGTCAGTTCCTTGACTCTGGTTCCGTATTACTGTTTGTGTTCCAGTGTGCTCCTGTTGATTCCTGACCTTGGCTTGTTACTCCGTATATCCTGACTACTGGCATCCTCTGACCACTTAACCACGACGATTCTCCTGCTTTATCCGTTCCTGTACTGCGACTTTGAGAATTATCCTGCACAGCACCCGTGCACCGACTCACAGGCCAAGTGAATTCTTACCTGACCACCTTGGCCTGTTTACACTTGCAAGGGTGAGCATATATCTCTGCCTGCTGGACTCCCAACTCAGGAAAGCCCTGACAGGAACATATCAAACAGTACATCGATTACATAGAGATCATTTTTCCTTTCTATTGTTTAAATTTTTTACATTTTAAAAAAAAAAATTTTTTATGATCATTTGACAATTACAGGGATACTGCATGCACCAAAACAACCTAACCGTAATTAAGTCATTTTAATGTATAGACCGTGGCGACTCGAGGAATAGTACATGGAGGGTACAAGAGATATCACAGTCAAAACTGGTAGGGGGCACCAATTTTTACCACTAAGTCATATTCGTAGTAGTGGATAGAGATAGTGGGGGATAGAGATTGTAGTGGGTTCAGGGGCAAATGGGCTGTAAGGGGTGCAGGCAGGGCCAGACTGGCAATAACAAGCAGCCCTGGATAATTGTTAAACCAGCCCTACAATGCACTGCTTTAGCAAAGTATGCAGATACGCAAGAGGGAAAAAACAAAACAAAAAAAACCCCTTCTACATGAAAGGCTGCACACAAAACACCAGAAATCAACTTCACACCCATAAGGTAGATTCCCAGATGTTCTAAAACTAGTAGGTTCCACAATGGTTTATTTGTTCTAAATGCATCCAAATCATCATGGAAATTGTAGTTCTACTACATCTGGGGGATCTACCTTACTTTATTAGGAACACCGCAAAGTGTTAATCTGTTCCTAATAAATGTGCATGTACAATATTTGTTTGCCTATACCTGCTTTCTTCAAATAGCATCTAAACAATTTTGTGGTTGGTTGCACCCATTTTCCTGCTCATATGAATTGAGTGCAGTTCCCCTTCCATTTTATTGCAGGATTTCTCTGGTCATAGATGAGAAAGTCTTTGCTGGGAAGAAAGAGGGCTTGCAATAGCTGCAACTATTGCAGACTTAGTTTTCATTATCTCAAAGAAAACATGCAAAATGAATTACATCCATGTTGTTTTCTACAAGGTATAACTACTAAATTGTTATTCATTCCCCCCACAATATAGTGTTAATTTAAGTGCACCATGTACAAGAAAATACAATGAAAGTTTCAGCTCCTGACTTTAACATCTTGAGAAAAGTCCAGTAATGGTCCTGAAACCTTTCCTGCTGCAGGCCTGTTTAAAATAAAACTTTATCATCAATCAGTTCTTTCTCAGTGGTTGGGTTATAGGATTGAAGCTTGGCACCAGAGTAACATATTTAATCTACGGACCTAGAAGTCTGAATATGACGGATCTCAGCAGCCCTTCAAGCTCAGTCCTTATTAGTACACGTGTTGGAGACAAGCCAAGAACCCTAGGTGCCTTTGGCTTAAAAATATATATATATATATATTCCACACATTTAATTCGATTTTATATTACTGCACCGCCATAAATGTGAGCAATGCCAATAACTCAGCCTGAAAAAAAAAGTAGACTAAAAAGTGTAAAAACAGCAAGATGAAAAAGTCACTAAGTATAAAGGGGAAGTTTTGGTGCATTGAAACATGAAACCACAGTTGGGGGCTGTGCAATAGACATGTGCAATTTGTTTTGTTACGAATTTCATGCCATTTGGACATTCGGATGCTTACGAAGTTCTGAAGCGATTCAGCTTTCTGAAAAGTGGCAAACAAGAGAGAGGGAGGGAAAATAATGTGAATGGTGGCAGGAATCTGGACCAATAAGCCAATTCCTTTTGTGCAATGTAATGCTTGCTCAACCCGGTTTCACTATTTCCTGTCCAATGAAGTTAGCAAATTTTTGTGATTGGTTAGAGAACAGCCAATTAATCGTGATTTTGTCACTGACACTTTGCCAATGAAGGCACAAAGAGTCATTGAGGTGGGAGTATATTAATCACTGGTAGACGTGTGTGAAGAAACTACACCTTTTGTTTCATTAACATTGATTTTTCTCATTCGGTAGATAAAACTACCGAACACCGACTGTAGGATATGAATATCCATTTTGTTTAATATCCTAGCTGTTCATATAAGGGTTAATTTGAACCAAGAATAAATTTGGAATTGTATCTCCGATTCTCGGAAATAAAATTTATCTAAAATCCTATATACGGGATATGTTCTTGGATAAGAATTTTGGGATGTTCTTGTTAATTGTCCAAGATTTCGGTATTTGTAATCATCTGGGTTTTATCCAATATGCATACATTATATAACACTGAATTATAACTGGAAACAGCTGTTTATAACTTGTGAAAAACAATGTCATTGTCACGCCCATATGCTCATTTTTCCCCCTCCCATCCTGCTATGAAAATGGGGTATAAATATAACTGACGTATGAATACAATTTGAATTGGTTATTGAACACGTCTCTGCTGTTCATTTCCAATTTCCAGAGCTCTGGAAAGGGCCCGGGCTGATTTTATCCCCAACAAACTGGTGTCAGAAGTTTGGGTGCAATTGGGAACGGTATTACAGGTAAGAGGATCTTTAGCCCCTTGGGGACACAACTTCTGGAACAAAAGGGAATCATGACGGAATATTTCTGTTGTGTGTTCTTAGGGGGTTGGGGACCTTGACCTGCTTCTGCCATCCTCCCACACATTGCATTTCTTGTTTTAATGGGGTTTTCCACTATTTAAGTTTTTAAAGGGGATTTTCACAGGATAATGTCTTTGGTAGACATGGTATTTTAAGTCTTAGGTAGACTTCTATTACTCCATGGGTTGGAGGAACGCCTTTAGCAGGCAGTATTGTGCACAATTCCTCTTTGGTAAGAGGTTCACCTTTGGCCAGGTGTTAAAAAGATTTTCAAGCCTTTGGCAGGCTGTCATGTCCTGTGATGTACATTTACATATGGGTTTTGTAGACTAAAATGGTTTAAAAAATAAAAAATAATAAAAATTATGGATGTATAGGATAGTTTTTTCCAAGATTAAGATTCATCTAGTATGCCTCATTGAATATATCAAAATGATGAAATGGTAGCATACTATGGGAAGAGGTCACCCTATTAAATCGCTAAGGGGTTAAACTCATTTTTGATAAGCATTTAGTTTTTGTGGTTAGAATTTTTGATACTCAATTTGAACTCAGTTGAAGTATAACAACCAGGTATAGGAAACAGCTGCAATATATTAGGGTTTTCATTGTATTCTGACAATGAAAAAGTTCCTAACCGCATGTCTGCATTACACCTATGACCCAGACTGTCAGTATTGCAAACCCTATATGAAGACTGCTTTCCCGGTTTATGTATACACCCCTAGACAACCGTGCTATACATGCACAATAAATCTTCAAAAGCTTATTAATATATCTATGTGGTACACAAAGAGGGGGTGTGAATTAGGTCATCTCGACCTGCATATGGAATATGCTTCCTCCTTGTTCACTTTTGGTCAAACTGTTGGTCTGTGACTGGCCCTCTTTGACCCCAACTGAATTTCTTGGGAAGATTCATGAGAAAGATACAGCAGGTGGTTTTGATATAAAGAAAGAGGGAAAAGTATGTTGTATCGGTCACAAAAGGATTGTGATCTTAAGCAGGAGAGACAAAGAAATTTGGGAGGTGATAGGAGATTGAATCAGAAAAGTTTTAGAGGCAGAGGTAGAGAATTTGATCAAAGGATCTAACCTTTGTAGAGGTGGTAACTTCAGCACTGTTTTAATTATGGATAGCAGGGATTCACCCCAAGGTGCTCGTGGTGAACCCGGTTCTCCTAGTCAAGCTGGCCCCACTGGTATTGCTGGTGTCCCTGGCTTCCCTGGTGCCTTCGGTGCTCCTGGACCTCAGGGCCCCAGAGGTTCCCCTGGACCTAAGGGTAACAATGGTGAACCTGGTGCTCAAGGAGACAAAGGAGAACCCGGTGCTGAGGGAGAACCTGGCCCGGCTGGTGTTCAAGGACCCACCCTAGCAGGTTCCTCAATACCAACAACAACCTCAGCCTAATACACAGATGGTTTATGTTTTTAATACTTTATATATAGTTTTGATAGATAAAACAGTATTAATGCTGGCTCTTAGGGGATGTACAAGCTGAAGTTGGGACCTAGACATTGTTTGCATAGGCTGCGCAATGTGAAATAACTAAAATAAAATAGGATAATAAGTATGCTTAGTCAATTTGTAACATGGTATAATAGAGGCATCTGCAATAAAATAAGTGTGTTTCCAAGACCTGACAAGTGAGGGCAACTTAACATAAGTCTACAGTTTGCTGCCCCTTCCTTATCAGAGGCCACGTGCAACACAGCAAGACAACTCTTCCGAAACCTGTATTAAACAAAGCACTTTAGAACAATAGTAATTTATTTTGTTTCTCCTATTTCATTCCTAGTTGTTCTGAAAAAAAATATAATGTTTAAATGGGATAACTGTATGGAGGTTCCACCATGTATTAAAACATGATCACGCACATACAGAATTGGTGGCTTTTTGGACATCGGGATCTATAAAAGGTTTCAGTTTCCAAAGATGTTAGCAGGGTCCACAAAACTGACAGACTTCAGCATTCCAATTTTATTAAAGTAATTAATTGGGATTATCAAATCAATGTTTAAGTTTAAGAACAGCATTTTATTGGGAATTATACTAATATGTATATGTTAGTGTTTTAGTACTCAACAAGCATTTATATAGAATGAGTGCTTCTCTCATCCATACAAAGGCAAATTATGTATTAAAATTTTATAAAGGACAAATTCAATGAATTATAAGCAAAACTGAGAGACCTACATGTTACACTAGTTAAGAGTTTAACTTTAGTCTCTAATTTGAGTTTAGCCTAGATAATTAATTTATTGATGTCGTACTGATCCTTGTGTTTGTATGATTATAGAGACCGTACTGGAGTATTTGTGCCACCTGATATTTGGGACTACACACCAATCTCTCTGGCTGACCTACCTGCCTACCTACCTTTTTTGCAATTAAATCTGTTTGGTCAAAAACCATGCTGGCCTAAAAAACTGAAATGCTTACTTATGAGGGCATAAACTAACTTGGAAAGTCCTGAAGATGCAGTGCTGTCTAATGCCACTATTTCTGTATTACCCTTTCAACAATTGGGGTGTTGCACAGAGTATTGTGGTGAACATCCAGCAAACAGAAGAATTAAGAACTATGTGAAAGCTGACATTGTCTTGTTGTCAGCCATATTGCTACCCTTAGCTATGTTATGGTGTCTAAGATTATGGAACAAAGTTTATGGTGTCTAAGATTCTTTATACTCTTTGAAAGACTTATAATATTTTTCTGGACTATTGAACTATTTTGTTATTTTTATTTTTGTAGAGTTAGCCGGAGAGAGAGGAAGTGTTAGCTTACTCAGGCATGGATGTACTATGTGTCATTGAGGTATGTTGAGTGTACCAAGGATGGATTCCCATGTATTAAGTGTGGATATGACTGGACCATCGAAATAGGGATTTGATTCGGAGGCATAGGACGCAAGGTCATAATTGGGATTATTGCTAGAATTGCAAACTGATTAGAAATGATCTCATGATTTAATATGTAAGTGGGCCTTTTCAAACTAATCAAGAAGTGTTTCCTAATCCCGATACCCGAGCTATTTACTTACAAGTGTAGGTTTTATAAGTCACTAATGCGGTCAACGTGAGGGGATGACATGTCTACACAGTCATGGCCCTCACTTCGAATTTACCCAGATGTGTTTTTTTCCTCAACTATGAGTTTTTGCCACTAGGTTTTTTGACCTGGCCCAAGTTCACTGGGTGGACTGGTAATCCAAGACCCTGGTCCAAAGAAGGGAAATAGATTTTATTCCCATTTTTGATTATATGTGTTTACGTTGTGAATTATAATAATATTCCCGTTGTTGGGAATAATACACTTTGCCTGTTTTGATCCAAGGCTCAAGTTACAGATAAGATGATGTGCAGTCTGTTTAAAATTGGTTAAGATGTCAGCTGTTTGAAATATTTAACTTGTACACTTAAAAGATGTGTACAACAGATGATTACAGAAGCTGAAAATCGACAGCTCGATCTCCTCTTAAAGGGAAAACCTACGGCACAGAGCAAATGGGAGAAATAGAGGTGAAGAAATAATGAAAGTCCCGCAGACGTGATTAGCACGTCTGAATATACCTCCTTTCATTTCTCTGCCGCAGACCTCCCATGGATATTCCGTAAGGTAGATCACGATATGATCTAAAGAGGAATTGTAGGATATGAATAACCATTTTGTTTAATATCCTAGCTGTTCATATAAGGGTTAATTTGAACCAAGAATAAATTTGGAATTGTATCTCCGATTCTCGGAAATAAAATTTATCTAAAATCCTATATACGGGATATGTTCTTGGATAAGAATTTTGAGATGTTCTTGTTAATTGTCCAAGATTTCGGTATTTGTAATCATCTGGGTTTTATCCAATATGCATACATTATATAACACTGAATTATAACTGGAAACAGCTGTTTATAACTTGTGAAAAACAATGTCATTGTCACGCCCATATGCTCATTTTTCCCCCTCCCATCCTGCTATGAAAATGGGGTATAAATATAACTGACGTATGAATACAATTTGAATTGGTTATTGAACACGTCTCTGCTGTTCATTTCCAATTTCCAGAGCTCTGAATGAGTTGGCAAATATCCATCATCCACAAAGGGCCCGGGCTGATTTTATCCCCCAACACCGACCACCCCCCTACCTCATTAACTTGAAACCAAACTGCAAATTAAGGGCCATCCCTGTGTGGACACCATTTGTATGGCTGAACGTGTTCGACTAGACGGCGGCTATCTTGGCACACAAAAAGAGGGAGCGGGACTTGGTCGTCAAGTGTCTGGAACTAAAAATCGGAAACTCAACTTCGCAAAGTTGACCGGCGTTCGCGAACGCCTGCTTTTTTTCACTGACCAGGAAAGCGCTATTCGGTAGGTTTGTTCCCACAAACTAGGGGAACAAATGCTACCCATGAGCCAGTGGAACAGTGCATGGATTTGTTTGGTTTTAGAACACCCCGAAATAGATCGACACCTACCTCTGAAACAGTTTTGGGCATAAGACTGTGTCCGGTCGATGAAATTATGACTTCAATGGAAATCCCGAACCCATCTGGGTGATTTTTGGATGTTTGTCCCCCAGATCAGGGCTATCAGGGAATGTGACTGTTGTTGGTACTTTCGGGGTGTTATTAAAATGTATGTTTTCTGTGCCTGGAGAAAATGGCGAGTACAGTTCCTGACTCAATTATATCACAGGCACAGGGGAGGGATTATCTTGTTTTGTGTGGGAGTGACCTGGACCTGAGAGCCAATGTAGTTACAGTGTGTTCTTTGCCATAGTCCCCTCTCAGGTAAGGTGGAGAATGCCCTTGGAATATGTCACAGTAAACCCCTTGCATGGGGACTTGCATATAAACCAGCCAGTTGGCCTGAATAAATTCATTCCTGTTGTACCCTTCATCTAGTTTAGGCATACGTCTGATTGTTTTAAGAGTTTACTGGGATACTGCATTTTTTTTTCCTGGGGAACATCTGAATCAACACCCGAACTGTGAGTTATAATCACAGCCTTTAGCAGTTCGGGAGGAATTGAAAGCGAACGGGTATCTGAAATACCAGCATTCCTAACAATGTGCAATTTGTTCTGAATGTACATTCATATGAATGTCATGCCATTGGTCCGAATTTTTTTTCCTTACCCGAATTTCCGAACCAAATTTTTTGCCCATGCACATCCCAACTGTGCAACACTTTATACAAGATCCCCATAATTTAGGTATGATGAATTGCCAAAATTGTAATATACATTTAAAAGATAACCCAACATGTTACAGAAAAGGCTACAGATTTTACTTATTTCTCTGGATAGCAGACCATAAAATAAGTTCCCCTTTAACAACATGCAACAGAATAAATGTAACTCCCTTAGGTGCACTTGCAATCAAATTTTCCACTGCATTTGAAAAACCACCATGTGCTCCACTTCAAGTTAGAGACCATAATTCTCCAGCTGGTTAAATTCTCACAAACTCCTCAGTTGCTTGCATTTGAAGTAATTATTCTAGGATGTTCCTCACAATTCTAGTTAAAGGGACACTCCAGTGCCAGGAAAACAAACCGTTTTCCTGGCACTGCAGGTACCCTCTCCCTCCCACCACCCATCCCATGTTGCTGAAGGGGTGAAAATCCCTTCAGTGACTTACATGAGACCTCCGCGGATGTCCCCAGTGGGGGAGACCTAATGCGCATGCGCGGCAGTGCCGCACGCATGTTAGACCTCTCCATAGGAAAGCATTGAAAATGCTTTCCTATGGGGATTTGAGCGATGCTGGAGGTCCTCACATAGCGTGAAGACATCCAGCGACGCTCTAGCACAGAAAACCTGTGCTAGAAACCAGGAAGTGGCCTCTAGTGGCTGTCTTGTAGACAGCCACTAGAGGAGGAGTTAACCCTGCAATGTAAATTATTGCAGTTTATGAAAACTGCAATATTTACAGCTGCAGGGTTAAGGGTAGTGGGAATTGGCACCCAGACCACTCCAATGGGCAGAAGTGGTCTGGGTGCCTGGAGTGTCCCTTTAACTTTGTTTTCTATCCGGCTACCTTAAGCCTTGATGTATATTATTTCTCAAAGACAAAAAAGCAAAAAAGTTGCCTTTCTGGAATGTATTACTTTGTGTAAGACATCAAAATTAACCTAAACCTTGTGATCAACTTAAGATCAATTTTCTTTTAAAATGTATGAAAAAAAATTTGCATGCGTATTGTCAGATACAAAAGGACTTCATTTGTAAGAATGATTGGTACGGACTTAACATGGAGGTACCCATTTGCAGGATAAAGAGGCATGGATTTCTACTTTAGATTTTAAAATTTTTATAACTATGCAACTGTTTAATATAGGGATAAGTAAACATAATAAAAATCCAGATAAGTGACAATTCCCCTTCAATATTAAAACCTCACTGGCTTCTTGCATACCACCTCTATTCAATAGTGCTACAAAATGTTAGATTAAAAAGCCCCTGGAAATATATATATTTGCTCTGCTGTGTCTAGTTACTGTAACACTATACCTTTAATTGCTAGATTTTGTAAAACATGGCTTAAAAAATAAAAGCATCGTTACATCACTAAGTTATCAAAAGCCAAATAATTGGTAAAGCAATTACATAGAAACAAGTAAGATTAGCAGGATTTTTGACTAAAGTAAATATTGCTAAAAAAGGAAAATAATTTCAAATTGTAGTCCAAACTAGCCAAAAATTATATATATATATATATATATATATATATATATATATATATATAAATAAAAAATCACCAAGCCAGTTATGACTTCAGTTCAGCTCTTTTAGTTTAAAATATGGAACCCACTATAAATGCCCAACAATTAACACTCGTGGTTTACTCACTAAGCTCTTAATTATAGAGAAATTTAATTAAATCCAGGTTAAAAATTTAGACAAAAATAGCTAATCTTGAAAAATTATTTAACTCTATTTTCA